TATGACAATTCAAAAAAACAAAAATTGGACAACCTACATGAGAGTGTAACTGCAGAAGCCACATTGTTCTGTTTCTCATACTTGCCCATCAGACACACTTTCTCATCCTGTGGAAGAGCAGAGAGTCTTTGACTAACTGCACATAAGCAACGTCAAGTGTCAAATGCTTACGGGGAGTACTTGAGACCAAATTGTGAGGTTAAAAATAACAAATCTGCCAAAGAAATCCATACAACAAACATTTGGGGGAAATTGCAGCCTGCTCTCAAATATCCTGAGAGCACCCAGTGAGGCCAATTTCCACAAATAAATGATTGCAACAAAGGTTTTTTTTGGTTCTTTTCAGAATCCAGGCTTCATGAAAATGAGACCTGAAGTCCAAGGGTAAGTTTGTAAATGGAGGTTTTTGTTGATTGACCTGGGACAGTACATTCCCACTCACATATAGGGGCATACACACTCTTGGTAACCAATCAGACATGTTTTAAGCTCAGATGCAGATGGAACCTTATTTAGTCTAGATTAGAATTCAATTAAGCTATACCAGAGATTGTCAGGAGACACTATAATCAGTTGTATTGAACAAATTTCCCATTTTTATTTCAGTTGGACAGATTAACTTGTTTCATTCAGTATACTGTTAAATGAAAAACTGCAGTAATAATGTATTAAATAGGCTTGTCTCACATACTGAGTGTATACCCTTAATGAAATTATCCTTTGTATTTCACTGAAGCCAAAATCTTCACTAAACCTCAGCAGACATTTGTGCATTTCACACAGAAGTGAACACTTGCCCCCATCTCCTCCAGCAGAGGTAGAACACAGTCATTTCAGAACTACATGGAAAAAGAGAAAGTACCTAAACCAAAGAGTTAACAAAGGTACTCTGTGAACTTTTTCTTAAAAACACACAGCTAAAGGGATGGTCATTGAAACTAAAGGATGAGAATACAAAGTGGATTTTATATATAGACATATATATTTATATATCCATATATATATATATGGATTTTATACATTTCACACAGTGTGATGGTATAGCTCACTGCCAGGTAGGAAGGCACAGATGCCAAGAACTTATGCAGAGTTAAATTCATGGTTTGAATGTTTGGAAAGCTATGCAGACCATCTAAAATAATGTCATTAACTACATGCAAAACTCCTTGGTTTAGTATTTAGCTATTAGAAACCAGGATTAGACCTCTGCATTATAAAGCATTATTCAACATCTGTCAGGTTGTTCCATTTTCCTCAGGATTACTGCCACAAGAGGCACATGTGTACAAACCACAAATAGCTGTCTCGTGACGTACAGCCTTTGCACAAGCAGAAAAGAGAATCTTTAAAGTCCAGTTTGGAAACAAAAACTTTCAGAAAACTGCACATTGGAAACGTTGTTCCCCTCTTTTATGACAGCCCACGTGCTCTGAGTTTGGATGAGCACAGTTCTATATATCTCACCTTTTGACTGCAGAGATTCCAAAATATCCTTTTATTGCAAGCCCATCTTCTCTCTTGCCCTCAATTCATATAACTGAGACACGTTAGTCAGACTGTCTGACATTCAGGACTGAAATCTATAAACTGTTTTCTCAGACTGCTTGATGACCTTAAAAGTCTGTAAAACAACAGCGTATATGCAAAGGTCAGCGAAGGCTTCAGAAATCACTCCCACTCCCAGTGCTGACA